CCCATTAACTAGAAAAAGTAGTAATTAAAAACTTAAACATCGAGCCACAATGCATTAAACACCAAGCTTGGTCAAGGTTATCAAAATTGAGTTTCAATGTTGTATTGAAAGGGGGTGTAGTGAAAATAACAAGATTTATTTGAAATGCAGCACTCTATACATGTTCGTATGTGTATATATCTATGTATATGAATAAAAGATTACATAAATAAGAAAAATAACCTTTAAAACATTGGAGGTTAAACTACATCGAAAATTACAAGGATTTATACCAACTCATAAGAGCACACTGCAAAACAGCCATTTTCCTTGACAACACAGCAGATCATGCTGCAAAGAAAGGGAGAACAAAGGAAGTCTTTAGCCTCAAACAGAGAAGCCTGAGAAGAGAACCAAAGAAAAATCAAACCAAAGAGATAGGGGCCAAATAGAAGAGTGAGGAAAGAATCAGAAAGGATCATTAGTGCGAGGGAAGAACCAGAGGAGTGTAAAAGGATGGCAGCAGAGGTGAGTTGAGGGTTGTGCCAACACAACAATTTAGGAATCAAACAAAATGATAAGGTCTCTTTCAAAAGGTTTCTATGACCTCTCCCAGATTGTTTGCTGCTGCAACCTCATTTTTTTCAAGTGTGGCAATCTGACAATTCAACTATTTGGAGCCATGATACGGCATGAGCAAACCATAGAATGCTTTTCAGTGGATGTCCATGTCAGTTGGGAAGTCCTATGTGTTGTAGGCAATTTTGATACAATTAGCTTAGTGACAAATGAGAGGCACAGGCCAGATTAATTTTAAAAAATAATAAAAGAAATTATTTTATCCCTAAATGTTTTGTTCAACTTTTTGTATTAAAATTAAAAAAAAAATTAGAAATGCAGTTCATAAGCTGGAGTGTGTAACTCCCCTAGATGCAGCATGTTTACCCCAATACTCTTGCCATTTGTATCACCACTTCTCACTGAACTTACATTGATAAGCTTGTATGCATTTTTTTCTGAAAAAAAAATTATGCCCTCACGTATCAATGGTGAGGATTTCTTTAAAATGCGAGCCAATTCACCCATCAATGGTGTATTAATCCATTATGACTTTTTTAATTTCTGCTTTATGCAGCGGCGATACAGTGTTTGAAGAGGAAGAGGCTATATGAACAGCAAATAGAACAGCTTGGAAATTTTCAGCTGCGTATTCATGACCAGGTGTGTGAATGCACTTTAAATTCAGCAGCTGCAACAATTGTTTTTGAAACTACAGCCCGTGAATAGTCATTTGAATCATCAAAGGAAAAGTTGTAGGCAGAAAGGTGTAAAGATTATTACTATTATTATTATTATTATTATTATTATTATTATATTAATAAGAATTAAATTTAACAGTGTATACGAATATTAGCATACTTTTAAAAAAATACATGAAAATATACTAGTGTCATTGAATAGGTAAAAGGGGATGGAAGAAGTGAAACTTCTGGTAATAAATAGTGAGTCAAACTCATTGAATTTCAAGCTCTTATTTGTCTTTCATATGACAAATTAGGAAAAGAATAAGTCAGTTTTGGTCTTAAAATTGGAACTGAATAATCAATATGATGTAAAATATTTTCTAATTTTTTGAAAAGAAAGTAGAAGGGTCTCGTTCAATCAGTTATGCGAACCATGCATGATTAGTTCACATGGGTCAGCTTGTTCAAGACTGGTATTTCCTTTTTTTTTTGTCTGTTTTTTGAAATCTTATTTTTTGAGGATTGGTTGGATCAGTTACTGGTTTTTTCTGTCCAAGAGCCAGTCCACACTAGTTCTGACTGTTGAATATAGTGAAAAACTATATTTGAATTAATCTCCTTTGTGTAAAATACACACATAGGGTTCTCTATTTATAATAGAAGAAATATGGGCTAAGCCCAAAATACAAATGAGAAATAATAACAAACTAATTAAAAGATAAAAGATATAATATATCTAACACTGACAATTATGGGTATGATAATGTTTCAGTGCATGTAGTATCATTTATATTTTCTGCTGACAATGTGTTACAGATGATAATGTTGGAAGGTGCCAAGGCTACCACTGAAACAGTTGATGCATTGAGAACTGGCGCAGCTGCTATGAAGGCAATGCAAAAAGCAACGTACGTATATTTGTGTTTTCATTCTTGATTTACTCTTCCATATTTTTCATCATTGTTTCTAAAACCTGACAAGTTACTGTATTTTTTGTAATATGTAAAATCTCTTTGCATGTAACAGAGATGTTTTGTTTAGTTCATCCATCTTATTTAATGGGCTTCTGATTGCGACATTGTTGAATTGCGGTATTTATTTTTCAGGAATATTGATGATGTTGACAAGACCATGGATGAGATCAACGAACAGACAGAGAACATGAAACAAATTCAGGAAGCATTGTCTACTCCAATTGGTGCAGCTGCTGATTTTGACGAGGTCATTTGCTCTAATTTTAATTTTATATGCATTTGTACTCTTTGAAACTGAGAAATTATCTTTTTAGTTGTTGAGCGTAGTTATAATGTATTATGTCACATGTGAGGAGCATTCTAAAATCTGAATTTCTTTTCCATTTCAGGATGAATTGGAAGCAGAACTTGAAGAGCTGGAGGGTGCTGAATTGGAAGAGCAGCTTCTTCAGCCTGCAACTACAGCTCCAGCAGCTCCGGTGCATGTTCCATCTGGGCGACAATCCACTCGCCCTGCATCATCAAAGCCCACTGCTGAGGAAGATGAGTTGGCAGCTTTGCAGGCTGAGATGGCACTTTGAGCAGGTCCCTTTCTCAGCTGCGACACTATTGATTTATGCTATATTCATTAATCTGTTTTAGTTTGGTTGGTATTGCAATTAATGTGCAGTTGAATGGTTTGTGTGTGCACCAGTTCGATATCAACCTTTGCACAGTTGAGTTCACTTGTATAATCATAGTTTGGAATGAATTTTCTAAAATTGCTTCTCAGAAAAAGTTTGACAATCTTAATTTACGCATTTCTTATTGACTTTGCTGTTGGCTTTGATTAAGCCAGAACTTTGCAGGCATTTACGTGCATGATCTTGTAAAAACAGTGACACGGAGAATTCTGCTCCCTCTCATGCTTGCTTATCTATGAAATTATTAAGCAAACCAGAAATGTATATAAAGGTTATTAAATTCAATAGCCCTTCAAAACTTCTACTTTCTCCTGGGATGTGTCACCCTATTCAATGTCGTGTTCTACAGAACGTTGAAAACTCTGCTTTATACGGTTGTTAAATGCTTGATGAATTCGTTATCTTTAAATATTATTCTTCAGACTGATCCATGCATATCTCATACTTAAGTCACAGTGGAGCAAGGTTGTTAAACACAGAATTTACGGCTCGGATAGTAAGAATTTACTTCAGATAAAAAATATATTAAAATATTTATAGGTAATATATATATAATCATGTCATTTTGAATAAGCCCGACTTCTTTTCTTATGCCCATTATAATAAATTGTGTATATTAAATTGATTATGGTCCAACAATATTAGAAAATTAGCAAAATCTAAAGAATCTAACCAAATTGTCAAATTGTATACCCACATTATTATTTTTCGCACTTCAGATTTTTTACAAAATAGTCTTATGAAGAATGTATTATATAAAATAATGTTAAATTAAATAATTTCGAAAGATTTAATAGTCTTTATTAAAATATTTTAAACATTATAAGTAACTTTTGTTAGAGAATGTCCAAAAGTTAATGTGTAGACATACTATTTTCAGATTTTTTATATTTACATTCTTAAAATTTTGTATATTCTTTATATTTTATAGATTTTGTACTCTTAAAGTTTTTTATTATGTAAAAAAATTGAAAATTTTCAGAACCAGACAAGGATACACGATATTTGAATAAAAATGCTAAACATTTAAAATAATAGAAAAACATAAATTCAAATATGATTTGTAAGCATGCTAATTAGGTAGTCAAATTAACTTTGAACAATTCAAACTTCCTATATTTGACTATGAAATAATTAATATTTAAAATATAAGATCTTATAGACTTAAAAATAATAAAATATTTTTTTTAAAAAAATTGAAACAATTATCTTTTATTTGCCAAAAATACACTATTTTTCACGAAGTTCACCTTATAAGATATATACATTGTTGGCTTTTTATTAGAACCGATATTATTTTCCTAGCCGTATCTGTTGTGTTTGCACATGTTTTTCAACTTAATATCCATGAAATATAACCTTTAGACTTGACAATAAGAGAAATAATTATTATTTTCAAAAAAAGGCCTAATTAAGTTGAACCATAAATGCTGTTTAACACAGGATAAACTAAAATTATTATATTTATAAACTAGTATTTCATAGAAAATACATCGCTATTTTTATGTCGAATAATCATAACTTAAAAATGATTAATTTCTTTATCAGTAATTCAATTTAAATATCCAAAAAGTAAGTTTCTATCTAAAATAAACATTTGAAATTAAAACAATCTTAAACTGGAAATTAACTTTAAAAATTTCCACAAGAACAACTCAAAATCGTACCGAATATGGTACAATTTCATTTCACAAGTTCTCATACCAATATCTGTTGGTAATTTTCAAAGCGGTATAATGTGAGGGACTAAATTGTGGAGCCTGAATAATTGCAAAACTTCATCAACAGAAAAAAAAAGTGGTGAGCACAGTTTTATGTGATTATTCATTGAAAACCTTCCCAGTAAAAGGATGTCTTTCTTTATACATGTGTAGGTAAGTGTAAAAACATCATTAATACTTAGTTTTTACTCATCACTCCAATGTTTATTCAATGATGCATTTATGTATGCAATCAACAAACTGCACATGCAAAACTATAATCTTCCGACTGAAAAAACAACAAAATAAAGCAACTTTTGCAGTAAACGACTAAACGTAAAGCTTATGTGAAAGAAATCACGTAGGCTTCTCTTTCACCACTTTATATGTGATAATGGCGAAAGAGACACACTATCACGATTCATCTATGTAGTTATTGTTATTGTCAGATGGGGACCCCTCCTTTTGTTTCTTTCTAAGCTTAGAAATTCCTCAACACAACGCAACTTTCATGTCCACTGCCATCCCATTCACATTCATCAACATTTTTCAATCAAAAAAGTAAAATAGGATGTAAAGTTCTTCACTGAAAACCTCGCATAATTTCTTACACACCTAACTACTTTAATCAAATTTAAATCACAATCCACATTTGAAGGGTATATAATCACTACCACTCATTAATACCATATAATATATGAAATCAATATCCTTTTTCTTTCTGAAATGGTGCTGCTGTTTGGAGAGAACCTTTGGTTAGCCAAATGATGGCGCAATTTCGCTGCTTTTTTCTTGTGAAACAAACCCATTACTAAGCAAGAGATCTTCGTACACAAAATCAAGCAAAAGTGCTTCATTTTGACCTTCAATATCGTCATCATAGCCAAACCATTGAGTCTGGTTTTCCTGTTTCGCAAAGGATGTTGAGTTTGAAACGACTGAAACTTCATTGGATAGTGGTACACTACAGCTGCTGCCAAGACCTGAGACATTAGATCCTAAAGGCAATGGTGAAGGAACTGGAATGTGTGTCCGCTCCAAACCCAAAACACGAGACTCGGCTGAGTTCTCATGATCGAAGACACGGTCTTCAGCTCGAGACTGAGGAGTAGTGGAAGTTGTGAACTGTGGACAAACAGTATCCACAGTGGCATTGGTGTTTGCTACCAAAAACTTTTTCTTTAACTTAGCGTTCCAATGGTTTTTCACATCGTTGTCTGTTCTCCCAGGTAACTGAGCCGCAATAAGAGACCACCTAACCCAAAAACCACAGCATATGTGATATCAAAAAGCAACACAAAACATTGTAAAACATGTTAATCTAGATTAGTGTTTTAATATATATCACGATCACATATTTTTATCGAGAATCGCTACGTACCCTTTGGAAACTGAAGGTTTTAGCACTATATATAGAGTTACTTTCAAACTTATGAGTGCCAAAGAATCAATCTTGTCTTAGTTATAAACAAAGAATGAATGAACTTGCCTGCTTCCGATGGTTGAATAAAGGTTGCAGATAACTTGGTCTTCCTCATCGGTGAAACCTCCATGCTTGATATGAGGTCTGAGATAGTTCAGCCATCTCAGACGACAACTTTTCCCACACCGCTTTAGGCCTAAAAGTTAAAGAAAAGAGAAATAAAAATAATGAAAGTAGCAGAGTTAATTGAAAAAAGGGATATATAAACCTGCTTTTTGTGGGAGAGTTATCCAATTGCCACCAGTGCCATGTTTCTTGAGATAGTTTTTTAGGGTTTCATCTTCTTCGGGAGACCAAGGACCCCTTTTGACATTAGCTTTGTCACAACATGGAGCTCTTCCCATGGCTTTTAAGTCAGAGAAGATTTGAAAGTGAAGAAGACAACACTGAATATGGAGAGTGGAGAAGTGTTATGGTATATATTATAGAAAATGGATTGGGAAGTGGAAGGTTTGAAATGTTTGACTTTGTCTGACTGAGACAGACACACACACACTGATAGAGCTGTTTGATTTGTTTTGTTTTACTTGTTGCTGTTGTGTCCTAACTCCTAGCCAGTTTGCTCAGTGTTTCTAACCTATGCAGCTGCTTATCTTATGAAACAAGGCAAAGACTCAGTCAATGACTGTAATGCAATGCAACAAAAAGTACTTCTTTTCTCTCTCTCTCTCCCTCAATTTTATCATATCTGATCATCCATCATCCATTTAGCACTGTAAACATTACAAAGATCAAAGGGATTTCAAAGATATATGATGTTTTAGCTTTTGAAAGTGAGTGCTTAATAGTATCAGCAGTTTACTTTATAATTTTACAGACTGCTTGGAATTAGGTCTAGAGAAATATGTTGTATTATATGAATACTGTGATTGGATGAAAACGACAACGTTAATTACGAAATGCATACAGCCAAATCATATATAACCAAATCGTAAATAATCTTTTTACGATCTTTGCATTTTTCTCCGTCTGAGTATCTGTAATTGTTGCATGTTTAAACAGATTACGTAAAAAAATAAATATACAATAAAGATCATGCTTTACATAAAAAAAAAATATTTTAAGGATTAAAATGAAAATAAATATAAAAAATTAAATTATAAACTAATATTTTAAAAAAATGAATCTTCGTGTATATATAGAGTCTTAGAAAAAGGTTAAATCACAAGGTATTTAAAAACGTATTTACTAAACACTACTAACTGATAAAGTCAAACAATGTTCTTTATAGCTTTGCATATACCAAGTTGATGATATTCTTGTGGTAGATCAAATTTCATAAAAGTCATTCGCAACCTCCCTAAATGGGAAAAGCAAGAGAATGAGATTTGATATGCAACTGATTTCTTTACTATTTTTTTCTGAAGAGGGAATTCACTGTAGACTCTACAATTAAAAATGAAAAAGGATAAGATTACAGAAATTTAGTTACTTAAACTTAGCATGATACGTAGCTTTTAAAAGTAAAGAATAGTGGTCGAAAATGATGTTTTGTAGAGTAAAATGGAGAGAAAGACAGGAAGGTATGAATCCAATCCAAAACAGAAGAAAGTGGAATTTATCTTAGTGGGCTTGTGTTAGATAATGTGGAGGATATTAATATTCTGTTTGAAGTTTAGAGGGGCAATCTTTGATTAATATGCACTTGCAATGTATCATATTTTATGAGTCAATTCCATCAGAATCTTATCTCCCAAGTCCAACAACCCTCATCATCTTGTCTGTTGTTGTTCCACTCTCATTAATAATTCATTTATAACACTTTCTTTTCTTCTCTAAGCAAAAACCTGTTGCCATCCAACCAACACTCTTCCCTCAAACCGGGGATTCATTTTTAACATGTAATAATTTCCCCTTGCATTACTCACTTAGATTAGATTTCTTACATTCACCAAAGATTTTGTGTAAGTTTCACTATCAAATATTGCAAGCCCAGCAGAAGGTGAAGTCTTTACTTTTAACCGACAAGATTCAATAAGAAAAGGAAAATTGATAAACAGTAAAAAAAGGGTCCAATATGCAGATGGTGTACCAAAATGGGGGACCATGTACGCTGAAAGAGGTGATGAGGGAAAACGTTTGCATCAATACCAATCCAACAAGAATGGTAGTTTGCTGCTTTCCCTTTCCTCGTTTGCCACCCTTGGCACGCAAAGCCAGCCATCAGCACAAACTCCAAATCACTATTTTCAATGTATCCCTTTCAAACTGGATCTCATGTTATAACAAGTAAATGGAGATCACTCTAACTACCAAATGCCCCAATCTGCAATCTAAATTCTATCACTCCTTCAAACATTCATACATACACTCTGCCTAATCTCACACACCATCCATCCATTTTCAACACCTTCTTGCATCATTTCAAGCTTACTGACAAAAACAACAGAGTAATTATAAGGAAACATAAGGGCATGTGTAAAGATTTTATTTTGGAGTGATAAAGGACAGAGGTTTGAATTGTTCATAAGATATGAGAAATATTTTAAATTTATACAAGAATGAGATGAGATTAGTGAAAATAAACACGGTAATTAAGACACGGGAACTATATCACTTCATCATCCGCTGCTACCTATACAAATGCTTAGGATGTTCATCCTTGAAAATCACCTGTTCATCGTCCAACAAGTCCCCCCAAAAAACCATTATACTGTCTTCACCCACACCTTTAGAATAGGCTATTTACAGAACATAAGTGGATTCTTCTTCCAAAATAAATCTCGCACTACCATTCTTCCTTTTCTTCTCCCCCGTATTCTATACACGCCGAGGGAACAGTGGCAGAATGAAATCAGCGACTCACAAGCTCCGAGACCCACCCGACATCCGGGACCACGGGCTCACCCGAACCCGGCCCGTCAAGAACGTTCTCTTTGCTCAACTTCTCGAACATCCTCGCTCTTATGTTTCTTCCGGACTCCACCCTCTCCATCACAGGCTCCTCCTCGCAACTCCGCTCCCACAGGTCAAAGTAATTCACCCCACCGCGAACCGGAGCCTGGGTTGGGGTCGAAGGAAGACTGATGAACCCGGGTCGGATCACTGGTCCTCTGGGTGACCCGAACCCGGGAGACCCTATAACATTCCAGGAAGAAGGCAAGGACTTAATCTTCCCCAGTTGCAAGTTTCTCAGCGAAGCTACCATCTCGTTAACAGACAAAGACCCGGAACGAGTCATCGGAGACATAGGCGGAGACTCCACCGGCGGCGACAACGACCCGGGAGAAGACACGAAGGGCGCCGCCGTCTTGGAGGACTCGATCGCGTGTCTTAGAGGAGACCCGTCGTACGAGTCAGCACTGCGTGGACTCTGCTGCGGCAACACCCTTAGTTGCTCCGGCGTATGGGCAAAGAAACACACGCGCCGGCGGCAACTGGTGCCGTCCTTGCACGGTTGAGTGCGGTAACGAGCGGGATGGAGCCAGCACTCGAAAACCCCGTGCGCGTACTCGCATGCGTCACCTTTCTTGCAACTTCCCTTGCGAAAATCGGGGCAGGCCGAACCGGAGTAGTGATACTTGCGGGGATCACGGCGGCGAGCCTTCTCGCCGGGGTGGGCGTACGGACACTCGGTCCAGTCATGTGACCTGCCACGTGCGCATCTCCGAACCTTGAACTCGAACATGCGGAAATGATCGCAGGAGTAGGCGTCAACCGGAACGTCCGATTCCAGGGAAGGAACATCAGAGTCTGACTCTGCATCAGTGGAGTCGTAGTGCTGAAGGGCGCTGAGAGCTTCTTGCAGAGAGTACGGAGAGTAATCAGCATTGGCGGTGTACGGTGAAAAGATCTCCGGCGAGGATTGGTGGATGAGCGGCCACGGTGGGACGTGTACGGTTGGGTTTGCGCGGTTCGTCTCCCCCAACATCATGGTTGTGTTGCCTTTGAAGGTTGTTTTGGTTTTATTTGGATTAGATGTTTACGTCTCTTCCGGCACGGTCAGTGTCTCTTTATAAACTACCTCAGTACATGTCTTTAACCCTGGTTGGGTTTACGCTAACCGTGGTTTGCTTGGAAATGAATGAACCCAGCGGAACTCCATTGCGGTTAAAGTTCACGCGGGATTTTCCTTCCATCACCACGCCGGTGTGACAGACGCGCAGTTTGCGTTTGCCACGTATGTGAACAGGTGTTAATGCGAGGAAAGCCTTGGCACGAGCCGTTGGATTCTGATGTGCTGCCCCTAGTCACCACTTTGTATCTTCCTTCTCTTCCCAAAGCAGTAGAGTGAAGCTTATCATTCCCTACCAAAAGACACGCCCATCTACATTAATAAATCTCAAAATAACCTAATATTATTAATTATGTGTGCTATGTTAAATCATAATTTAGTTCTCATAAATCTTTCACCCCTTCTTTATTTACGGACAATTTTGAAGATTTATAATAAAAAAAGTTTCCTTTTTATTACAACTAGACATCTGATTAAATTAAACAAGTTAGTTATGTTAGGAGAAAATCAAATTGAAAACTTGAAATTATATTTATAAATTTTTTTCATATCTTATAAAGTTCTAATTACCAACTTGTCTACCACATAGTCAATCGACTACTAGTACAATAGTGCAAACTTGTTTCGTAATGTAATCAAATGTTAAGTGTGATGTGTTCTTGTCTCCATTTTTCTCGACCATAGGTGCATACACGATTAGATATATTCTAAATCTTTTAATTTCTGTCAATCAACCTCTTAATATTAATGTAAAAAAGAAATCTTACCCAATAGAAACTAATTTTGAATTTCAATAATTTTAAAGACTAAAAAGATATCGAAGTCAATATTTAGTAAGAAAAAGAGTATTTAATTTATGCATAGTTTATGGGTGAAGAAAATAAATAGTTAAATGAGTGAAGAGAGATAAAACAAAATGGTTTAATGCAGTGGCATTGAAGTCGTGTGAGAGTTAAATGTGGGTAGGCATGTTATTCAATTTCTAGGGGAGGCATCAACACTTGGAAAGTAACGTTTATTGCTATCATCACAGTTCCCAAATTTCTTTTTACTGTCATTTTTCATTTCTTCACCTTATCCATACACTGCAGTAGTCATTTATGCTTATTTTTCGGGATTTTCTCACATTATTTTTCAACACATTCTTTACAAATGTATAAGGGTTACAAAAGAATTGAGTTAGGTATGGTATAAATATCATGATTAAATATATATCACTTGTATGGATAGTGTATTGAAAATTTTACACCCAATAAATATAACAAAGTTTATAATATATTAAAAAACGAGTTTATAGTATATAAATTGATAAAATCTTCGTCTAATCAGTTTTATGATTAAGTTAAGTTTGAAGTCTATTTTTTAATATGATATTAATGTTATAAATTAAATAAAATTTATTTTAACAGAGTTTGTTATTTAATTATTATATTATTTATATAAAAAACCGTTATTTGTTAAATATATTATGTCATTCACTGTTGAATCATTTGTTAATATTTAATTTTATATTTAAAATATATATTTTTATATAAAAAATATATTAAAATTTTATATC